TGATGCCATTTTAATCACACATTTTTTAAACTTTGCAATTCTCGCCTCATGATTACATATTCCAATTTATTTTTTGTTTAATAAATACGTATGTAAATGTGCAATTTGCAAGCGAGCTATCCAATTGGGCTCTGCAGGCCGGCCGATAAACTAAACTAAGGAAATCGAGTGCATAGAGACTATCGATAGCTTGATAGTAGCCGTTGCAAAACTGTTGAGTAATGTTAATTTAGTAATGCAAACTAGCCACTTTTTAAAGAATTTCATAACTTTATTTTACTTGTTTAACAAATTAATTATCACCCATCACTCAGACTGTAGTTTGACCACAATTTTACCACGCATATGACCGCACTTCAGCCGCTCGAAAGCCTTCGGCATATCCTTGAAATCAAAAGTGCTATCGATTTGCGGTATTAACTGTAAACAAATAATCGAATTTTAAATTATATTAATGAATAAATAGAAAATAAATAATAGCTCACCTTGCCCCGTTCTACCAGTCCACTGAGAAACTCAATGCCATGCGCCGCCGGATAAAAGTAGCCCCACTTGACCACTCCTCCGCGCTGCGTGGCTGTCTTCACGTTGGTCTGCACCAGATCCGAGACGTTCTGCAGTGCGCCCAGGCACAGACCCTTCTTGTCAATATTGGCCAGCAACGGGGAGCTGAATGTGATGTACTGTCGAAAGTCGTACTGCGACTCGGCTGCAGCCTGTCCGCCCTGGCCGGCGCAGTCCAGGACTATATCATAGGGCGCATAGGTACAGAGCTGCTCCATGGCGTCCGGCTTAGTGTAGTCCACCACGCAGTCGGCGCCCAGTTGACGCACCATTTCCACAGCATTCTCACTGCATGTGGCCAGGACTTGGGCGCCTTGCGACTTCAGCATTTGTATGGCCAGGGAGCCGACACTTCCGCTGCCACCAAGGACCAAGACGCGTTTGTTTGCTCCGCCGCCAGCCGAGGTGGTGGCGCCGCAGGGACCACCCAGCCCACCGGTGATATACATGCCCGACCAGGCCGTCAGGCCAGCGTAGAGCACGCTGCTCGCCTCGCTATCATCCAGGAGCTTTGGCGCAGGCGCGAGCTGGAAGAGATTGGTTAAACTTCATATGAGTTCTACTTATGAATGAAGCAAGATGCTTACACAGGATGCCGGCACCACGACATATTCAGCGTGTGCTCCATTGCTATTGGGTATGGGCACCACGCCCCATACCCGCGTCCCCAGCTGCAGCTGCTCATGGCGCACACCCATGCCTTTCTGCACCAGCTCACCACAGAATTCGCGACCCAGCGTCAGGGGGAATTCGATGTCATCGTTGGCCTGGCAGCGAAACTGATTGAGCAGCGTCGATCCGTATCCGCCGAGCATGGCCAGATCAATGGGATTCACTGCTGTGGCGCGGACTCGCACCAGGCACTCGTCAGAGCTGCGGATTTGAGGCAGCTTCAGCTTGTCGGACAGCTGCAGCTCCTCGATTCCACCATAATTGTGTAGCTGCCAGCCGCTCATCTTCATGGAGAGCCTGGCCGATGGCGGCGGCGACTGCGGAGGATCTGTTGGTTCACATTGGGAAGCTGTTGCTACAAATTGCCGACGGCCTGGGAATAAACGGGGCAGCACGCCGAAGCGCTTGACAGTTGCGCTGGCTGCCTGCATTACTATTAAATACCACTTAAGATTCCGAATTTATATATTTGTATATTATTTAGTTGGTTTTGTTTGTTTTTCAAGTTCTTCAACAATGTTTTATGTAAAACTGCGGCATGCTATCGTAAACAGAGCAAATACATAAGTGTAAAAGGGAATAGTATGCTGCTTAGCAGAACTTATCGAGCAAAATGTTAACGCTTAAAGTTGTGATAGGCATAGCAGAGAAATTTTATAAATTGTATTTAGTTATTTATTTAAGCGTGAATTAATTTA